CACAAATCTCAATCATAGCTCCAAGGCAATCCCTCTACAGCTTCCTGTGAGGCCAACTTACAAATCCCTTCCACTCGCTTCTTCAAACAAATTGGAAGATACTCCAACATAAATTTATATTTTGCTATTTCACTTAACTCAGTTACTTGTCTTCGTATTAAATTTGTTTCAAAACTATTATTTAATCTTAAATAAGAGTTCTTGTAACCCTAGGTTGCATACGGTGATGAATATATGAATATAAGTAACGTAGTCTATTTTAGTGACAAAATATAAGTTTACTCATCGACAATCCCACATTAAATGTGATATTGGGGATGCCTTCCTTGAAATATATGCTTATCACAGCATATCCCGAAGGGGCCTTTAAAGCAACTGATCAATTTTAGAATAAGAGCCATCCGCTTTAAATTAAACTGCAATATTTGTGAACAGATATTTGGACTATCTATTTTGTAAAGCGTCAACATGGACAAATGAAGGACTCATGATATCCCCGTCTCAATCAAGAGTGCTCATGTGGTACGTAAATAGTTACATGACACTTTGGTTGCATGAAAGGTAAAATTTATCGAAATTCGTAAAGTTTCTGAGCCTGCTTAATGGAAAAAATCGAATTTTTATTAGAGGTAGGTATGAGCGTATAACTTTAATGATTTCGAAATAATGATGCGTGTAAGCATAGGAAGCCTACACATTACGGATATTAAGTTTCTGGAAGAAAAATTGAATAAATTGCCTAATATTTGTCTCAGTAACCCATACCTGATTTAAATCATACAACGAAATTTATTAATCTTGACAGACAGATGACCGTAAGTGTTTTATGAAGGTAATTGTTTGTTCCTATAGCTGGCGAAGATCACTGACGGCGCACCTGGCCATAATTCTGATTATGGAAGAAACCATTGCAGTTTTTCTTGATTGTACACAGTACAAGGTAGGTTCCTCGAAGTATAACTGACGCCACGAGCAACAAATCAAAACGAGTTTAGATCACTTACATACAGCAAAAGGAGACTGCGACCTAAATAGGAGCCACACATCTTGACTTTATTAAATACTATACAAATCTTGTTTTGTTTACTTGCTTTTACTTTATCTTCATTTTTATTTCAGGTCAACATGTTTCTACGACTTCTGGTTCTCAGTTTGACTTAACTAGTCATAACTCCAGACCCTTTTCTTCTGTTCCTTCTGCATCTGCCCCCTTTGCTCCTGCTCCTGAACTCCTTGTTTCTACATCGTTACCTTTCTACCCACCCAACCCAAATGCTCTGATAAGTAATATTTCCACCGTTTCCGATGCTTCCTTAGTACCACCCCGCTTGGTGATTGATAATAAAACCACCAACGATTATGGTCACGAGCAGTTATTACATTTGGCATCAGACTCACATTTTGGAGAAATGGTCAGATCACAGTCTCCTAAGGAACCACCCATCATATGGGATGCTGAAAGCCTGATTAAGGGTTCTGGAGGCCGACTGGACCGTCTTGAGTTGCTCTACACTCTACGTGGTCAGCACCTTGCGGCGGCTAAACTGCAGATTGAAGAAATGAGGAATGCTTCCGAAAAGGCAGAACGAATCAGCAAACACAAAATAATCCTAATGGAGGGTAAGGCCACGATAAAATGGCTCAGCGAACTCTCATCTCTGGGGAACACGGCAAGCCTCTTATTTTATACCTAGGCAAATTGTTGGGTCTAGCCTGGCTTGCATCTAAAACATATATCAAGTGATGTTAAATTTTTAATTTCATTTATGAAAGGGTCATTCAGAATCCAAAAGGAATATCTTTTTTACAATTTAACTTTAAGGGGTCATAATTATTAGCGTACTATGCTTTATCCCGCATACAGTAGGCTTTACACTTTTTATACTTAGTTTAGAATTTAGGAACTCTTCCATAACTTTTCGCTTATTATCGAATATGTTTTACTCGGCTTATAACATTTATTTAGAACAATATCTGTTAGTCCTGAAACCACTGATTAAAGAAAAAGAACTCGACTTTTCACTTTAAAATGAGAGAAGCCTTCTAGGAGACATCCTGGTGGAGGTTATTTGTATCTCTTAAATCTTCCCTGAGTAGTAAAAACTGGAAATATAGATTGAACTAATTCCGAAGATCCTGACACATCAAGAACCAACACACAAGAACAGATTTGACAGAATACGCAAGATCCTAAAAACGAATGAACACTTAGTCCTTCAGGTGGATAAAGGAGGAGCCACAATGATAATGGACAAAAAACAATATACCGAGAAGAGGGAATATATTCTACGAGACAGGAAAACATGTAGTATACTAAAGAAGGACCCAACTATGAAGATAAATTGAATCTTAAGTGAAATGCAGATATATATGCATATGAACAGGGAAATTGACGCATGGACAAAAGATGCAATCATAAGGAAGGGGACACGACCACCAACAGCTTACGGATTACCGAAGATACACAAAGAAGGCAAACCACAAAGGCTTATAGTCAACAATAAGTATGGAACAACACAAATTTGAAAAGTTCATATTTTTGAAGCTAAAGAAATTAAATGGATGCTATCAAACACAATGAAGCGTTCATATAATTTTTTTCAAAAAATCAAGAACATGGCACTGGAAGAACCAAACTTATTAGTAAGTTTAGATATATAATCCATGTATACAAACATATCTGGAGAAAAGGCGCTAACGGTTCTGCTGGAAATCCTGGACTGAAATGATGATATCCTGGAATCAGAAAGGATTGGTAGGGACTCGTTAACAAGACTAATCAACTTGACAATAAGGACAACCTATTTTACATTAAACGGGGCCATCTATAAACAAATATTTAGACTTCCCGTGAGATCGCCACTCTCATCTCTTTTGGCAAACGTATACATGAGCAAATTGGGAAAGAACTTCAAGGTGTCACCGCTACAACTAGCAGTTCTCATGCGGTACCTAGATGATTACTTCGCAATTTAGATATATGGAAGATAAAAAGTGGAAGACTTTCTGAAGTTTATAAAACAGATTGATGCTGGAAGTAGAGTAAGGTGAGTGGTTACCCCTTCTGGATATGGAAGTGATTCGCTCTAATAGGATGCTCAGGATGCAATTGTTCAGAACGAAGTCTTACGCCGGGATAATACTCAATTTCCAGTCCCATCACAATTACAGGCTAAAGATAGGAATAATGAGAAGCATGTCCATCAGAAGCCTACGTTTAACGGATGTGGAATTGTGGGATAAAGAATTGGAAAAATTGATTAGGATATCCCTCAAAGGGCAACACAAGCGAAGTAATAAAAAGAAACATACGGTATGTGAAAAGCTAATGACAGAACGGGGACTGCGATAAAACAGTAGGGATGGAGAAGGATTTACAAAAGTGGAAATGCCTACTTTGCTGCGAACGAACTCAAAAACTACGGTCAATACTATTGAAATGGAATATTTGGTAGGCCATGAAGGAAAAAACAAGTTTTCACAAGTCTACTGGCGCAACATGGAAGGGTGGACGAATTGGATTGTTCAGGAGTTTACAGCATAACATGCGCCGCCTGTGAATAGAAATATATTTGCGAAAAAATAAGAAAGATTAGCGTACGAATTAAGGAACATCAAAGGCTCTGCAGGAAAATGGATACCGAAAGATCAGAATTAGCGGAACACCTCGCACAGGCAGGACACATGACCAATTGGAAGGAAATCGGAAGAAGGCCCTCATATGGTGAAAACACAAGGAAGCAGGATATTAGGAATGCCATTGACATACTGGTGAAAAAATATAATAAACAGGAGATTGAAGGAAGATAGAGTTAACGATAACTTTGCCTACTGCTTAAACAAACTAGGGGAATACAAGAATACAACAAAACCAGCAAAAAAGGGACTCCTGAATCAAAGATCTATCGTTAACTGGAGGAAAAGGGATCGCGATGAGAAAAGGGGAGGGAAGATTTCGAAAATCAAGCGGAGTCGTTCTCAGTGAATGAAGTCTGTTTGAAGAAACCAGTACGACTAGTAAAGGTAATGTCTAATATCTGCAAGCATGGGAATCAGAT